TCAGAGGTCAAGTGAAGTGAAGAAGTCAAGAAGAGCTTTGCCTGGGATTTAAGGAGGAGGCTCCATAGCAGTAAAGTTTAAGGTAATAACAAGATTGACTAAGGAATTAATTTTTAACGAGTGTTTAAAATACAGTGAAAGTGGTAATAAGCGTGTCTGAAGGTATGATACTATGAGCAAGAAGATATTTTTCAAATCATTTAAACAAGTTATAAAGTGAATTTTGAAACCTCTGTGGTGAATTATGAAACACCCATCATTGTGTTTCATATGTATGTGCATGACCAAAGACCCTTAATTTTCACTGGAAATTATAGTAATTCATTTTGTTCTGCATATCTGCCACTTTGTCTGAAATGACATGGTCATGCTGCAGACTTTGTGCAGGCTGATTCCTTTTATTTGATTTAAATTTGAGTTAAAAACCTGGTAGTTGTAGAGATGCCTGCTTGTTTAGTGCAAAACGAAGGCAAATAATTGCAAATTGTTTTCTCTTTTTCATACTGGTTTATGAAACCTAGATAATTTTGAAGATAAAAAAGTAAATACCAAGATTTTAGACTGTCACAAGAAAAGAAAGAAAACATGCACTGAACTAAAAAAATCATATTCAGACAAGGACATCTGTTAGATTTCTAAATAATCAATGAGGGACATTTTTTACATGTACCAGTATAATAAAATCTTAAATACACCAGTTGTTATAATCTAATAATGTGTCTAACACAACTGTGTAGTTATTTATGTGTGCGTATGTGAACGTGTGTATATATAAATACATAAACATATACATATTGGAGTAAAATTATTATTAATTTGTGTTATATATAATTATATAATATAAAAATTAAAATATCCTATTTCACACACTTGATACATAGTCACCTCTTCAGTGATATAATCAGATACAGAAACGGAAATAATAATTGGCAGCGTTATAGTTTTCTATAAATTACTTTTCTGTAGAGGGATATATATGACATCACAGCTTTTAAATTTTATTCTCTCTTGCTTGTTCTTTTTGTCACACTCATAGACACAATCCCCCACCCACAAAGTGTATTTATGCATGTACTAAACCTAGCAATTAATACCCCAACATTGACTCGTACACAGAATGCCATGCCAGTGTTTGTGAACTGCCCCTTTTCAATATTTGTCTGGGAGGAATGATTTTCTAAGTGACACAAACAGTGTACAACTCTCAGTTCTTGTTAAATGATCCTGAGGTTCGTCTTCACAAACTTTTTATACCATTGAGTTAGATTGTTTTCTGAAACAGATTCTCTGCCATTCCTTAGCGAGTATTTCTGCATGAGTGTCATGAAATACAGGTAAAGATGTTTCATTTCTTAATTTGCACTTTTTCCAAGCACAGAAATAAAAAAATTATAGGATTAGGGATTAACAGTTGTCTATAGCTGTATTTTAGCAGCACTGAAAGTAGTACTGTACAGCTGAAGTTTATGTAATACCTGGAATTGTTCTCAGCTAAAATACTGAGTTGTGGCTGATTAAATTTAGACTTAGGTATTTTTATTGTTGAACTTAATGGAGACAACTCAAATAATTCTATGACCTCTGTGAGCCCTCCAGTTTTGTTTGGTGTCATTTAATTGTTATTTGTATCAAGGCAACCCTTTCAGATTGTTTATATGATTTTTGGATGAGCTATGCTGGCTTTAAGAATTACTCACTGGAGAATGTATTGACGTTTAAGAAAGATACGGGACCTGGGTTTCTGAGAACCCCCCAGGCAGTGAACATACTTATCTTGGCACTGCCCTTGGAAATGCTGTCCTTCCTTACCTGTGAGTAATACATGTTTGTAGCCAAGGTGGTGATTGCTGCCATTCATGCTGAGATGAACATTGAGGTTTTCACCTCTGTGCAGTTAGGATGCTGTGAAGTATCTGCCCACTTTTTCTTTGTGTACAGGATGAATTTGCACACTCTTGATACACAAATAAATCTTTTATTTAATATAAGCACTGGAGAAGCTTTTTTAAATGTATCCTTTGAGAAATGCATCTTGTCATGTCTTCAGTGTCCTGAATTGTCTCAGCCTGGGCACTGTTGACCTGTAGTGAACAGAGAAAAGCATCTTTGGTAGTATTAGTGTATGGAGAATGACTGAGAATAAATTAGATTATATTATTTGGTGTCTTTACTTTTTACAAATTGTTATTTTTTCCGCTAAGCACTAGATAATTCTTCAGAAACAACAAAAAAATCCTACTTACAGTGTAGTCAGCACTGCCTGTTGATCTTGATAAGAGATACACTATGATGTGCCTGTAGGGACTGTTCACCTTACAGTGCAGGGGTAATAAATTTTTTTGTGAGGACAGATCAGTTCATTTTTGGGAAGGTATTATCTGTCTTCATAAAGAACACTGTGCGGCTTCTGTGCCATTGGATACAAGAGTAATGGTAGCCTTGCTGAAAATGGACCATATTTAATGAATTAAAAAAGATTTAATATGCTAACATTTGCTGATTAATAAGCTTTCTATTACAAGTATTAGTAACAAAAGAACAAACCATAACTTTGACTACTTATTATGTGAGCTGCCTGTTTTGCTTGATCTGGATAGAAAACAGTGAGGCAGAAAGGACTGAACTGAGAGATACCGAATAATGCAAAGGATAGCAGAAAAACGAAATACTGAATTTAGGATTACGCTAAACTTCTTTAATCTGTCAAATATCACATTACTAATTTTGCTGTTCCTGCATTTTCCTACTTAAGATGAGAACATTCCTAAACAACAGTATAGTTCTGTCCAAAGATGGAACTGAACTGAATATATCTTCAAATGTTTTTTCAGTAAAAAAGATACAAAATTAATTCGTTATTCCCTGAAAACTTAATACGTCTCAAGATTAAATTTAGTCTACCATCCAAAATATCATAAACTTCATAAAATTAAGATTGAGAATTACATTTTAAAATCATAAGAACATATTAAATTAGGATCAGAAAAATTAAGCATTCTAACAAAATTTACTTGGTTGTGGGCTGCTATTTTAAGAGGGGAAAAAATACAGTATTGAAAAAAAATCTGAATGTATTTCAAAAAATGATTAAAAATTGTTTTAGAACCAGAGACATTGCTACACAAAATCAGTATTTCTTTGTTAATATCATGCTATGCTGGAAAAATAATTCAGTTGTACTGGAAGGAATGTGTTTTTGTAGAATATCAAAGATCTTTGGGTTTCTTAGGAGGAATTTTTGTTGAATTAACTTTGTGGGGATAAAACATGAGTTAGTATTCCATGATTTGCAAAAATACAAAAGAGTTTGTTGTTGCTTTTTGTTTGAAAGTATACAATTCCGTGGTGACAGCTATTTCATAGCCTTATAGTAAAATCAAATTATTAAAAAATCCCTTAAGTAACTTTAATTTCTTTAATTGCCTTAACTAAAAGCCTGAAAGAAGTTCAGTACAGACTTTGGAAATCCTTCCTCTGGAAAAACAGTGACATCATTGTTGGAAATCACAGTAATACCAAGAATAGTACATTTTCTAAGTGGTAAATTCGAGCCTGTAATGATGTATTCGTCTTGGGAATTGTAAGACACATGAGTATTTGGATAAGAAGTTTTAAGTATTAAAAAAAGGTTAAAGTATAATTCAGTTATATTTCTAAAATATTATGAGATTTTTAAACAAGGATAATTAGTCTTTTCTGATAGTGGATGTTTTGCATGCAAATTGTTATTTCTGAGTTAGAATTACGCTATAAGTATCTCTGAAGTTATTGAAGTTACCTGAAAGTATTGTATTTTGGTTTTAGTTGAAGGGTGACATAACATATAGAAATGCGTTCATTAGGAGAATGAAATGTACTTCTTTCATGTATTCCAATATTCTTACATATATTCCAATCAGGAACAGGCTAAGCCTAGCAGAAGTGATACCAGCAGATAATACCTTTTTTCTCAATTGAAGGCAGCTTGTGAGGAATCTGATCTTAAAAACAATCTTGTACTTTAAGCCTTTCCAAATCAGAAGTTGTGTCCCTGCCTAGGACTGGATGTGGGAAGGCTATCATACATGAATTGATGGAAACTATTGAGAATATATACCAGATATTTGTCACAGAAATAAGGTCATACAATGTAATTTTATTTTCCCAAGAAAATCTCTGTGCCCATGAGGTTATCTTTTTCTAAAATAATGTTGCAGTACATGTGGTTCAGTAACACTAGCTGGTAGAACAGGAGGGTAAATGGCATAGAAATTTTTTCACCATTCCTCTCAGAATTTCTCATTCTTTCCAGTATTTCGAGTTATTAAAGTAATTCTATCATGTTAGAAATAAACAAACTCAAATACATCTAGGCTTTCAGACCATGGTTATTGTTGGTGTACATCTTCCAAAATTAAACTGTAATTTGCATGATTTTTGAGTAATTCTTTTTCTGTGTTTGTACAGTATGAAAGTAGCAGAGACCTGGGGTATGACTAACGTCCTGAATGCTGGAGTAAATAAGTCCTGTTAACAATAAAAGGATTAGAGATAGGCAGGCTTTGTATCACAGACACAAGTGTAGTGACATTAATAGTAGGACTATTCTGTTTTAATTGAGCTGATTTTCATCTGTTCTTTTCTAAAAATAGACCAGAACAGAGGCATATCAGGTGGAGAAAACAGAGAAATCCAATCATATTTTAAAAATATTTAAATCTTACAGAAAGTCTAGTTATGAATCTTTCTTGCCTGTTGTGTATAAACACTTAAAACCATATCAGCTAGGTGAAAGCGCTACACATCCCGCTTGTGTGCTTATCAAAACCCGTGGCTGTACAGTCACAGGGTTCTGCAGTTCTTAACATAAGTGTGCAACATACTGCAAATGGAAGTGCACTAAAAAAATGTTGTTTGTCAGGCATCAGTGGGTTCTGCCCTGGCATTGTGTAATTATGATATTTTCTTAACGTTGCTCTAATTGCTCTAATGTTCTTATTGTAGGTTAGAAATCTGAAACAATGGGTGACTGGAGCTTTCTGGGGAGACTGTTAGAGAATGCGCAGGAGCACTCCACGGTTATTGGCAAGGTTTGGCTGACGGTACTGTTTATCTTCAGGATACTGGTGTTGGGGGCTGCTGCTGAGGAGGTCTGGGGAGACGAGCAGTCGGACTTTACATGCAACACTCAGCAACCTGGTTGCGAAAATGTTTGCTATGACAAAGCCTTCCCCATTTCTCACATCCGCTTCTGGGTGCTGCAGATCATTTTTGTCTCCACTCCAACCCTCATCTACCTTGGCCACGTGCTGCACATTGTACGCATGGAGGAGAAGAGGAAAGAGAAAGAGGTGCTGAAAAAGAAGGGAAACATCAAAGAAAGCAACTACCCAGGAGCAGCAGCATCTGGCAGTGGTGGTGGAGGAGGCAATGATAACATCAAGGATACTCTTGTCAAAAGGGGGAAGGAGAAGCTCCCAATCCGTGATGAACGTGGTAGGATTCGTATGGGGGGTGCCCTGCTCCGTACCTATGTCTTCAACATCATTTTCAAGACACTGTTTGAGGTGGGCTTCATTGTGGGCCAGTACTTCCTGTATGGCTTCGAGCTAAAGCCAGTTTACCAGTGCAGCCGCTCACCTTGCCCACACACTGTGGACTGCTTCATCTCACGGCCCACTGAGAAAACCATCTTCATCATCTTCATGTTGGTGGTGGCCTCTGTCTCCCTGCTGCTGAACATGCTTGAAATATATCACTTAGGGTGGAAGAAGCTTAAGCA